TGAAGACAGACGCACAGAGAAAAATACTGTAGCAGGCAGATCACTCACTGTTCATGATGCACGAACTATTGGAAGAAAATCATCAATATTGATTTGGGGGTTTATATGAATGTGTTTCTGAGGGGAACTGAAAAGTCTTCAGAAAAGTTTACGTGGTATTTTCTTTTCCTCTGTATTCTGTATAGTTCATATTAAAGCAGTGTTTCAGCACAGAGCTGCTTTGTTTACAGCGGTAAAATGCTGTATCAGAACATTCTGTTTTTGTTTCAAATTGGGTTATTATTAAATCAAATGATGTATATGAAATTATATAACTAAATGATACGAAATGATATAAATGATTTGTATATGAATTATATAACAAATTAAATAACAAATTAAATAACTGTAATTACAAATTTAGGTTAAATAAAGATGTCAGTCTTTATTTTTCTTCTTTTTAGGAAACAAAACAAAAAAAAAAATATTCTACTGTTCCTAATATTCTGTATGTTGCTCAAAAACAAAATATATTGTGTTCAGCGAAAAAAAGTTCAGTGCTGTTGTTTTTTACCCAGTCATTTAAAAATAACACATTGCTGTAATGACAGCTGTTAACGACAATACCGTGATATTTTTGCTTAAGGTTATCATACCGTCAAAATCTCATACCGGCCCATGCTTAGTCTGTACTTCCTCAACAGACAACGAAACAGCCACTTTTTGGTTGTTAAAAAAGGCACGCTCGTTCAAAACAGTTGCGTTCGATCCTTCGCTGGTTGTGCTGATTTAAATCTAGTGGTTCTGTTGTATTTGTGTCGCAAGTTCAGTGACACAGGTAGTGACGATTCTCTCCGGCCAATCCGTTATCTGCAGAGTTTACACGTCATGTTTTGGTAACGGTACGGTTCACTTTTGGGGGGTGGAAAAGCACCTTATGCTAAGCTACAGTTAAAAGTGCTACCGCCAGACCCAGAGATCGGCTGAATGGATTCAAAAACGGTATAACTCAACTGTTTAACTCTAGGGGAGTTGAAAAATGAGCCTATTTTCAAAAATAGTGGAGTGTTCCTTTAAGTCATGCAAACCTTGATGTTTCACACAGTTTCTTCCAAAATTGGTGAGCATCAGTTAAAATAGGATAAAATATAATTAATGTGTTATTCACACTAAATTTCTAGCTAATGCATATTTAAAAAAGAAAAAGCATTTAAAGCCTATATGTATAAAGCATTACAAAGATATTCATAATGTGCGTTGTAATGCATTCATATCTTTTAATAAATAGACATAATCAAACTGAAAATGCATTATAATATTTGAAAGTTTGTCAAGTGTTTTAATGCATTACACTTTTTAAAAGTGTGACAATGACTAGATAAGTTTTATCATTTATTATAACTATGGCTACAATTATTCATGAGGGCACACAATGCATAAGGTGCATTACAAGGCAAAATTAATACATTTTAACTTTTATAATGCATTATATAAGCTTTTTAATACAAAACATACAAATGTTTAATAAAAAAAATTTTTTTTTCTGACACTTAAAATCTATGAAAATGTTGCTATATATAAAATTAATACATTTTAACTTTTATAATGCATTATATAAGCTTTTTAATACAAAACATACAAATGTTTAATGAAAAAAAAAAATTTTTTCTGACACTTAAAATCTATGAAAATGTTGCTATATATAAAAAATATATTTAATTTTAATTTCAGATTTTTGCAAGTGCAGCCAGTGAAAATCTGAACAAAAGCAAAAATTTGAACAAAATCATTATTATTGAGCCCTGAAGAAAAAAAAACTATTATTTTTGTTGTTGTGGAATATAACTGCTTATTCTTTTAGTTATGGTATCATTATGTACTATAATACTCAGCACGTCTTAACTGCATATTAATGCACATAAAATGATGGTGAACACACCACATTTTTGCACAGAGGGTTAAATAGCATCTAAAACATGAACCAATCAAGCAAAGCGGGAAGCATGTGCACACATCACACAGCACCAACAGGACACAATGAAGCGCTGCAAAAATCAGGCGAGATGGACAGTGAAGCACAAGGACAGGGAGGCTCATTTCTGAAGCAGAGACATTATGACACGATGAATGGCAACAAAAGACAATTTCATATGAACCTCACAAACTGTAGCACAGAACATCTAGAATGAGCTCTTTTAAAACAACAGCCTGTAGCTCATTATTCCTGGATGTGCATAAGACAGACAAAATATGGAGTCTTGAGAAGTTATAGGGAGAAATGTGCTAAATTTGTTCTTTGAAATAAACAATTGCTGTAATAACCAGCAGATTAAAAGTGAACTACAGAGCACACTTCATACATGTGCGCTGTATTATTTATATAAATGGGAGTGTGTTGAGACTATAAGCAGAGGAGAGCGTTCGTGCACATATAGGTGTCTGCATGTATGTGTATGCCCTGTCTGTTCGTGCAGTGTCAGTCTACAAAAGCACACTATATACAGCAGCGTCAAGGCAGCAGGCTGTCAGAAGGTAAAAGGTATTTTTCTTTGTCATGACACAGGAAAATCCAACCACCCTTGCAGCCTTAAATGTGTCATAAGAAGCAAAGCTGTTAAGTTTCATGAGCACAGGTTTACTACAAAACATAATACAACGAACAATTTCTTGCCTAATCTTTTTCACACATAAGCATAGCAGGTCACATGCATATCTTTACGTAATCTAAGAAAAGTACTGAATAGAGTAATATTAAGAAATGTAGCAAAGCTAATTCTTCTGTCAAGTCTCAGTAACTTTAAGTCTGATTCCTACAAAATTAAAATTTGAATGTAAATTATCATCAATGTGAATATACACTGCTGTTCAAAAGGTCGGGGTCAGCAAGATTTGTTTGGAAAGAAATTAATACTTATTGAGCAAGGGTGCATTAAACTGATCAAAAGTGACAGTAAAGACATTTATCATGTTATAAAATATTTCAATTTAAAATAAATTCTGTTCTTTTGAACTTTCCATTTATCAAAGAATTTTGAAAAAAAAAAAAAACGTTTTCATGTTTTCAATATGAAGCAACAATGATATTCAACATTATTAATAAGAAATGTTTTAGGAGCATCAAATCTGCATATTATGATTTCTAAACGATCATGTGACATTAAATGGCCACTGAAAATTCAGCTTTGCCATCACAGGAATAAATTACATTTTAAAATATATTAAATATTCTTCTATATTGTAATATTTCACAATATTACTGATTTTTACTATATTTTGATAAAAAAAACTAAAACCTAAAGCCATAAACAATGTTTAATACTTGACAAAAAAAACAAATACAGAAATACAATTAAAAAAAAAAACAATAAAAACTTATTTTCAGCTAACTGTCAAGGCAACATCTAATTTTTAGTTTAAATTGATGTATTCTCTACAGACAAAACTAAAACTAAATACTAAAATTAAATACAAATATTCAACATATTAATAAAAACTATAACCAAAGCTCAATGATAATCAAATAACACTGGATCAAATAAATGCTGCCTTGGTGAGCACAAGAGACTTCTTAAAAAAAACGTATTACTGACCCCAAAACTTTGAACTGCTTTTTGAAACCTATAGCAAGTGAATCAAATAAAACTCAATACAAGGCTAACGTGTCTGTAGTCATGTGACATGACGATTACCTGTCAAAGATGGCTCCCACCCCCGCGCTGTGAGCACTGTTCCTGTGCACGTGGAGGCCGGTGGCCAGCAGAATGCCATCCTTCACCGTGATGGAGCGATGAGAGAATGACGCGATCAGTAGCTCATTCCAGCCTGATGGACAGATGAAAGCAGCAAAAGATGAGGAGGGCTCAATACTGAGAAAAGTATCAGTGTTTGCTAAGTGAGGCATCACTAAAATCCAGTTTGCAGCTTTATAAATGATTTTAAAAACATGCAATCAAGTTATTCAGAGTGCGAAAGAGAGGCAAACAGGTTTACCAGCACGCAGCAGGATGACCTGGTCATCCAGAGACAGCTCACTGAAGTGAGGGATCCGTTTTGCCCACTCCACCAAAGTGAACAGCTGTTTATCAGCCGCCTGGCAGATATTTGTGACTGGGTCATTTGGCTGAGGAGAGGGGGGAAAAAACAAAAAACAGTATTATGGGTAAGTTGTAAAAAGAGGAAATCAAATTAAAACAAAACTTGTACAATAATGTCTTTGTTGAATTTTCAGTTCAAAACTCAATTTCAGTTCAAAAAGCAATATCACATGGACACTGCAATAAAATATATTGATAACCATGATAAGCTGTGGAAATTTTTACTCAAAATAAATTAAAGGTGCTGTATGTAGGATTGACACCGAATGGTTGAACTAGGTATTGCAGTCCAAATTCAAAATATTGGAGAGGGTTTTTTTCACCCGGCCCCTCCTCCTCAGACTTGACGCACACGCAGGTTGCCAGATTGACGACACCAACAGGAACGAGCGCACTTGACGATGAATGAAATGAAATACGCTTTGTTTCCCACCACCTGGAAACCCAGAGTCCCGAAATACAATTGGGTAAACTGGCAGTGGACAGGTTTCACAAACCAAAACAAAGACCGACATTCCGGCCCGGAACGCACATTTTCAAAGGAGAATAACTGACTGTAGCATTGTTTTTCAGATAAGTATGTTAACTTAGCATGTTTCTTAAATATCTGCAAACATATTATGGTATTTTTATGCTTTAGTAGAGTCAAAAACTTACATACAGCACCTTTAAATTAACAGCCTGTCACCCAGCAGAAATAAACGTGACAACAGACAGTCAGTGCATGTCACTAATAACTCTGCATGTTCTACACGTTTCTGTGTGAAGTAATGATGTAGTTTTGTCTACTACACAAACTCAAACACACGTGACGCTCAGTGTTTTTCAGCATGTCTCAACATAATAAATGAGTACATGAGCACATGAACTTCATCTGCAGAGCTGCTCTGAGAGTCACTTCACCAGCTTTTCACCGTTTCATTTAGGGATGCCAGCGATTAATCGACGCTCGATTAATTGTCGATAAGAGATGCAATCGATTAAAGCTATCGATGGTCGATTAAGCAGTTTAATTTGGGGTGCGTGCAACTCATGAGCAAAACACGTGCAAGCGGCTGTGAGTGACGGTGATGGGGCGGGATCTTTTGAGAAAATAATTCACCAACGTACAAATTATGCTTTTAATGTGATCCAAAGTTTAAAAGTACATTAAAACAGAAACAACACAAAGTTCTTTTGTATTGAAATGTAATAAACAAGTCATGTTTAATTATAATTTCCCCAGATAAATGTTTCATATTGGGCTCTGCGGGACACGAACAGAACAGATATATACTGTATAATTCATTCCTACAACCTGTTAATTCGTTCCTACGACTTATTAATTTGTGGCCACTGTCCATGTATCATTAATTTGTTCCCTAGAAAACCCATGATTTAACTAAAATGAGGGAACGAATTCTTAATTCATCTTTCATTCCCCCCCGCATGTTTACCACAGTAAGAGATGCGAAAACAGTGAATGACAATAAAATAAACCTGCAAGGGTTAGAGGGTGAGACGGTGAGGATTTGGGAAAAGAAAAAACAAATATTATTAAATTACTGGAAATTCGTGAGCAACTGGCAAAACAGAACACAAAGCCACGTATGGATTTAAATGTATCGAACAGCATGAATGCAAAAGCGATGTAACATTTGCCTGCAAACCCATTAGGCCTATTTTTCTTATAAAAAAAGCTTTGCACCTCACTTGTGTCATTATAGTGTTTCATGTGAGCAACAGTGTGTTTTGCCGCAGCACCGATTAATTGATTAATTGATCGTTAGTTTAGATGATCAATCATGGAAATATTTGAAAAGTGACATCCCTAGTTTCATTTGACAAAAACTACCATCAAACCACTGAAACTCTTAAGGCTGATGATGCACGGGGCAATGGGAACCCAAGCAACATTGTTAAAAAAAAGTTGCCCAGTTAAATTGCTCAAAAAGTTGCCCCTTGTATCATCAGCCCAAGATCTTCATGACAAACTGCCAAAATACAAGTTTGGTTTAACTTGATAAAAATAATGACGGAAATGTATTAGTACTGCATACCAAATGAACTTCTGAAAGTAATATTATTTTTTTAAGTAATATACAACCAAGCTATAGTTTCATCCATGTTTTAATTTATACAGTTCTGTTGTGCATAATCTTTTGACAAAAATAAAAATATAATGCTTTGTGGTAAATTGCTATTAATGTTCAGTTGATTCCATTTTCAAAGATTGATGAAATTGTTGAAGTTTTCTAAATTAATTTAATTAGATACCATTTTTGATGTTAAATTTGTATTAAATCATAAAACACAGAACATAGACAAATTAAAATGGATTTCATGTGGCCCTAAATTAAAAAGTAGTTGTGGAGTCTGATTGTGAATAAACAAATGAATATTGCAATAAATATTGATATCATGATATGGGAAAAAATATTGTTATTGTTTGTTATAGATGATATTTTTGGCCATATCTGCCAGCCCTACTCTGGAGATGATGCTAGATATACAAGCAGTCTGTCTCAGACAAAAAGCTGTTTCAAAGCTAAAAGCTCCAATATGCAACTTCCTGTCCTTAATCAGTCCACCAGCTTGCTGTCATTGGGCTGCTACAATTAGAGCCCAATCACCTTGAAGTTCTTAATCACATAACAAATAATCCTGCCACTAAAGATCAGAGATCCTCTTATCGTGCTTATCTGTAACTTACAGAACTTCCCCCTGAGCTGCCATCTGCATGCAGCTCAGTCTTCTGCTCCACGGCCATCTCTGCTTCCAGAATCTTCTCCACGGGCATCTCTTCATTCGCTGCGCTGGTGGACTCCACCTCTCCCTCCCGTTCCTTGTTCCTCTGACGCTCCTCCTGAACAGCTGTATCGCACACAGGGAAATGAGGAAGAGGAACAAGATGGGGAAATAGAGATGAAGGATAGGGTGGAGGACAGATCAACATGATGGGAAAGGGAAAATGAACAGAGAGAAGGGGTAGTGAATAGGGAAAGTGGTAAAGATGAAAACAGGTGTAGAGAGACACAGAGATATACAGATACATGTAGTTCCTGGTTAGTTTTCAACATTCATTCACACCCTGAAGTCCTCCAGCGACATTCCTTCTTCAATGACCCAGTAAAAGCTACAAAGATCCCTTATTACACACATTCAAAACAACATTCTCACATGACTAATATTTTTTGCTGCATAATGCCATTTAAAGGGGACATATCATGCAGAATCAAATCTTCCTTGACCTCGGATAACAGTTTGAAAACACTGTACATTCAGTTCCTAGTTAAAAAAAAAAGTACTTATTGAACTAATCTGCAAAAAGATTCTTGAACTTCTGCATGCCACATCAGATGCATGATTTACACAACAACGTCTATTGGGTAATAGAAACTTGGTAGGCCAGTTATAGTTAAGTAATAAAGAGAAAGCTGGATGGATACAATTACTTTAAAACACCAAAAAAAAACAAAAAAAACTCAAGAGCAAAGTTTTGTCATTTCTGGCGGTGTAGCACCTACAACTCTGCATGTCCTTCTCAACATAAGAAACAAGTGGCTAGATTTTTTTTTAGGAACATTTCAATCTGACTTTAAGCATCAATGTGAAAAATTATAACTAGTGTAACGATTCACTAGTTTTCTTGATGCATTGATTATAAAACCTGACAATGCATATGCATCGATCTTGAAACATGAATTTTTGAATCGTGAATGGTTGATTTCGGCCAGTAATCAATTTAAAACACTAAGAAACAAAGGAATCGCGATTTTAATAGCGATTTAATGCTTTAAAAGACATACACATTAAATTACTACACGCACAAATTAATGGAGACCTTGAACAACGTCGTTTGTGCCCTCACATCTCTCTTTCATGCGCGCCACTGTTTACCATTTGTCACAGGATTGCACTTGCAGTCTGTTCGTTGCTCTCACTGACACATTTTGAGCAGCCAAAATAAGTTAAGTGTCTAAAAGCATATTCCTTTGAATGATAAATAATTTTTAACAATGTTGTTAAAACAAAAATAACCACAAAATTGAAAAAAAACACAGCATTAAAAACAAAAGCTATGAGAGTGCGAGGTTCATCTGTCAATCAGATGCATTAAAGTTGTGTTTGTTACTATAGCAAACAGATATCGGGCACGTTTTCTTTTAGAATCATCATTCGTGGAAAAGTTGAATACTGTAGCATTTTATTTTATGAAAATAAGATAAAGCTCACATCAATCAAATTGTTAATCGAATTTAGTTGTGAATCGTTCTTGAATCAAATCGTTCTGATTTTGCAAAAATCGAAAACCTATGAATCGTGAATCGAATCGATTCACTGTCTACCCAAAGACTCACAGTCCTAATGATAACATATCACTTTAAGAATATCGTTCCAAAGAACCATAAGTGTTTCCCATACATTGATTTATTTGTGGCGGCCCGCCACAATATCAAAACTGACTGCCACAAACAGATTTTCCAAAAGGCTTTGACTTCGTTGAATAAACATAAGCACTGCACGTTTCAAAATCAAAACGCGGTGCAGGTGTTTTTATATTACTGTATTTCTGAAGGAAACCAACTGTCTTCAGAAAATTTTCATTGTCATTTTCATTTCATCTTGCATGCAATTCCTGATAAAAGCAGCGTTTGTGAGCAGTGCACTACTTTGTGTACAGCTGTTACCAGGGAAGCCTATTTCTCCCGCTCTAAAAGCGCCTCCTGCTGGCAGAAAATGTAATTGCATATTTATATAGGGGGGGGGGGTGCCGCCACAAATAGAGTAAGTCTGTGGGAAACACTGAACCATATTAAATGGTTAATAAACAATCTTAAAAAATAAAATGCAAAAAGTGATCAAGGAAAAAACGATATGATACGGCCCCTTTAATAGCTGTGACTAATATCCTACAGAGTAATTCTTTCACCATTCCCACATTCTCTTACACATACACACACAACCACCACTCCCTCCCTCCCTGCTTTCTCCTTACATCGTTGTCGTTCATCTTGGACCACTACAGAAGGAGAGGGAGAAAGAGAGAGAACGAGAGGAAACAAAAGAGGGAGAGGGGGACAGGTGTTAGTGGTGACAACAGCCCTCCCTCCCCCTCTGCTCTCCTCTCTGGTTTGTGCAGTGAGGTCTATGTAATGTCTACCCACAATGCCCTCTTTACATTCACAGTCACCAACAACCTTGAAATTTACATGTATCTGCAATACCTACTCATTCTTGTCTATTTGTCTGCCATAATTCTAGAAAGCACTTGCCCGGTTTTGCTCTCCTTAGTGATAGACAGATATATTGGGCAGGCAAATTAATTGTAAAATAGGCTACATAATACAAATTAAATAAATAAATAAAAAACGGACAAAAAGTAGTAGTATTATTTTTACAAATTATTATTATTACAAAAAAAGAAAATTAAATATATATAAAAAAATAGCCTACATCTCTGCAATTTTTGGGTATATTCCTAGTTCCTTGCCAAACTAAACATTGTTGTGTATGTGCATCGCAGAGCTGGCTCAAAGTAAGCATTTGTTGTTAATTTTTGTTTTCTTAAAATGACTGATAGTTTTAATAGAGAAGACCCTTATTTGTCAGCAGGGTAGTGTGGATTACTTTGAAGCTGCCTAGATGTAGATTTCGGACCACTGAAAAGGTTTTCCTCCAATATTTTAATTTCTCTCCTACTGTCTTTGTCAGTCATATACATCTTGTATGGCCTGGGGGTGAGTAAATAATCAGGAAATCTTCTGAAATTTCTGGGTGAACCTTTTAGTGCATTATCGTCAATCACCCACTCTGCTCTCTATATATAAGCATCAGTTTGTGTTTCTTGCTCCACTTAAATGCATAACAGTTACAGCACAGCACTGAACTTTCTACTGCATTAACTTCACATAAATAAAAATATACACTGTGATCAATAAAGCAAATCCAATATGGGACAATCACAACTTCTTACCTCTAGTGTAAGGAGTTTCTCATCTGGGGTTTGTGGTATGTGTATGTGTTAGGTGGGACAGCGAGTTCTTGTTCTTACCCTCTCTCTTCATCCCCATGGCCAGGCACTTCTGGTAGCGGCAGTACTGGCAGCGGTTCCTCTGGCGTTTGTCCACCAGACAGTCCTTATTGTCTCTGCATGTGTAGCTCAGGTCCTTCCTCACAGTGCGCTTGAAAAAGCCCTTGCAGCCCTCGCAGCTGTACACGCCGTAGTGCTTGCCTGAAGAAAGGAGACATGAGGCAAATTTATGGAGGTGGAAGACTTTAGTCAACAGATAGGTGAGCCTAATTTTGAAAGTTTCATAATATTGTTGTTGCATAAGTGTTACATAATGAAAAGCTGTTTTTGTTCATTTGTCATGATTTTTTGCAGCTATCAAGTTCCACATAAAAACAAGAAAGAGCTAAAGTACCATGACATGATTATTTACTACTTGTACACAACAGTTCAAAAGTTTGAGGTCATTAAGTTAATACTTTTAAATAAAAAAAATAATGTTTATTCAGCAAGGATACATTAGATTAAAGTGATATTTAAGACATTTATTATGTTACAAAAAATTATATTTCAAATATATGCTGTTTTTTAGGGCTGTCCCGATAACCTCAATCTCGCAATACTGCGCTATTGACGAGCAAACCGCAGCAACAGCGATTTTTGCATGTTTTCTTTTTTCATAAGGTTATGCCCTTCTTGTTTTACACCATGCATGTGGACTGAATATTAAACAAGTTAGTAATGATAACATAATGTGTACCATGCTGATTTGTAGAGGCTCCGTAGATTTGCACTTAACAAGCCTAAACAGACAGCGAATGAGAGAGAGATCGACTGAGCGCGTGCGATTACTTGCGTCTGTCCTCCAGGCCGAGTCATATATATTTGTGAAAATAGGTTGTCGTGCAAGGAAAGCGAAATCTCTGTCTTAGCATCGACGCACAGCTGCTCAGCTGAGCCTTCTAAAGTGGCGCTCAAAGTTAAAATTATAATACCGCATACCGCGCTATTGAGTCACTCAAAATTACCGCAAGGGAAATTCCCTCACCGCGACAGCCCTACTGTTCTTTTGAACTTTGTTCAATTGTTTCCACAAAATTATTAAGCTCTCAGAAGATTATGAATGATCATATGACACAGAAAACTGACATAATGACTGCTGAAAATTTAGGTTTGCCTCAGAAATAAATTACAATTTAATGACAAGGAATAAATAACCGTTTCAAATATATTAAAATAAAATAACTCACAACATTATGTTTTTTATGTATTTCTGAACAAAAAATATAGTCTTGGTGATAAGAAACATCTTTCAAAACATTAAAAAAAATTGTACTGACCCCAGACTTTCAAATGGTACTGTATATATAGATTTTTTTATTATACTAATAGGAAATTTTTTTGTAATATATAACGTGAAAATAAAGCTTCTTATTACACATACTGACAATTGATAACACTGCATCATTTAAATTAAATATTTTACACTTCTATAACATGTATCCAATAGCAATAAACATTTAAATGGAACGAGACAAAAGAAACTAGTTTCAGTGTTTCCTTCAGACGGGTTAGGGTTAGTGTTTATCAGTGAGGTACCAGAAGAGCGATCTCCACAGATGGCACACAAGCGTTTCTGAGAGAGCATGGGCCCTGGGCTGTGGGCGGACATCGGCTTCAAACCGAAGGGCGGTTTGACGTCATCAGAGCTGCTGACGGCGTGCAGACCTGACATGGACACGGTGGAGTTGATCTGAGACGGGCAATGAGTGGAGAGATGGGAGAGAGATAAAGTGACAGAAAACACAAGAAATATTTTAGTTGAATAAAATGAAGAATTCCTCATTTTGACAAACAAATATCAAATAACTAGATTACAGTTAATTTCTTATGATCAGTAACACATGCCTGATTAGCTCTCAATTAAAGCACAGGTAAATGATCAATCCATAAGAAACTGATTTTGATTGTATTTTGATGAACACAACCCCTCAACAGACTTTAATCATTCAAAGACCACTACATTTCAACATTTATGAGCAACAGCACAGGGAGGGAGACATATGTATGAGAGAAGCTGATAGAAAGCGAGGCGAGTCAGAAAGTGAGAGAGGGTACAAGGTCTCACCTCTGTGTTTCTGCGAAACATGTTAATCTGTGAAGCAGAAATGCAGTCATGAGGAGGAGCACAAAAAAAAATGTGGCGCGAGGGAGGTGGTGCTAAAAAAAAAAGAACAATTCCACCATGCTGTTTTGTCTTGGTAAAACTCAAATTTAGACTAGAAAAAAAAAAAAAAGGTTTAGATCCACAGAGAAAGAGACTTTGGAAATTAAGGTCAAAATATCAGATGGTCTGTTATACATTAACAGTTTTAGAGGGAGACTCAAATTATCTCTGTGAATAAACAGTGATTTAAAAAAATTCCCTCTAGCTTAAAATTTTCAGGTCTAATTACATATTGCTAGTCATTGCATTCTACTGCACAAAGATGTTTTAATGCTTTTTAAAGATGCCTCTTTTGCTCACCAAGGCTGCACTTAATTATATATAATGTGAAAAGTATTTTTACACACACACACAGTGTACATTAATGAGGAAAAAAAATTAACTTAAATGATTTTAGCAAATGGCTGCAATATAACAAAGAGTGAAAAATTTAAGGGGGTCTGAATACTTTCCGTACCCACTGTATATACACATATATACATATATATACACACATATATATATAGTATACACATACATACACATATATTAGGGGTGCAACGGTACACGTATTTGTACCGAAAATTTTCTATATGGGTCCTTCGGTTCAGTGCACATGTGTACCGAACAAATCGCCCCATTTTTTCAGGAAATTCAGACAATAAATGCCATTTTGACGGTCTTTGATGTGGCATGACAGATCACTGTATACTAACACCTCCGTTCTAATAACGGCAGCGCGAGCGAGTGTGATCACCCCTTCTTCTTTAGTACTCTACTCTGTAAATGATTGTATTTCAACAACAAATAGAAATTGTATAAGTTAATAAATAAGTTAATTTAAAAAATGTACGTTTGCATAATTTTTTTTTTATTTGATAGTTGATTATTACAGCTAAATATAAATAGTAGCCTAACTGAATTTAAGTTTGGGCTCTGTTGTTGATTGTAACCTTATAGTAATGTAAAAGGGCTCCCTATAGTTTAGAGCAGAAGCTGAGGTAGATTTTTTACATTTTAATTATAATTGAATTTATTTAAAGAAAGAGCAATTTGTTCAGTAAACCACAGTTAAATAAAAAAAAAAATGTATGTTTAGTTTTTTTCCCTCCTGCTGTACCGAAACCATACTGAACAGTGACGTCAAAACCGAGGTACATACCGAACCATCATGTTTGTGTACCGTTACACCCCTAACATACACACACACACATATATATATATATTAGTGCTGTCAATCGATTAAATTTTTTTTACTAATTAATCGCACATTTTTTCTAAAATTAATCGCGATTAGTCCCACCTAACATGAAAGTTTTTAAAAATACTTTTACATTGCAATAACTTCACATTCAATTTTCAAATTAATGTAGAAACAAAGACATTTTTAATATTTGTATAATGGCATCTTTTTTATGACTGAAGGCCAGTATCACTCTGATATCTCTATGAAATAGTTTTTCCCCCTAATATTTAACCATTGATTAGCCATTCAACATTACAAAGCTATCAATTTTAACATTTATTAGACTACTTAAAATAACTTCTTATTTAAGTGAACTTAAAACAATCTTCACATAAACCCATTATAATAAATGTCATATTTACCTGTGCCCTTCAGCAAGTAGGAAATATAAAGAAATTGAATAATGTATCAAACACTAAATTCTAAATTAAATATAGATGAATCCTTAAAGCTACAAAAGTTATTGATTCCTCTTTTTTTCTTTGATTACCAGACATCACAGCAGCTGGTTATTAGATTTTTTTGCCTGCTGTCCCTTTAAGAGCTGCCGATGCTGACCGTGACGTGGATCTGACACGCATCTCTTTACCTATTCTGACCCACTTCAGTTCTTAAAGTCTCTAATTAGTTAAATCGAGTGTGTTAGGTGAGGGAGACAGTGCTTGGATGCTCCAGGACAGTTTGGAAAACCACTGCATTTCAGAGACACGTTCTTAAATGTGACTCATAAAACAAATACATACATGCACAGTTTTAAGGCAGCTTTAATTGCCTTTTTGGTAACTTCATGACTTAACTGATCACATAACTACGACATTGCATGCTCGTAGTTTCTTTTGCGATTTGATATGAAATGATACAGGCTACAGGGCGTGCACATTTGTAGTGCAATTGAAGAGCACGCGCTATGAGCACAGTACAGTTTCTATGCTCGTGTGACTTGTGTCTGGCACTGAGGTAAAGTTGGAGCGCACGTCTGAAACGTCTCCAGTTTAATGTGGTCATAAAGACGTTCTGCATTTAAATAAACTATGGTTCTTGTCACGAATAAAAGAGACAGAAACAGCAGTTGTGAGTGGGGTGGCCAACCGTAGGCGTAACGCGTTTCACCTGTGTTAACGCACTAATTTTGACAGCACTTATATATATCTTTTTTTTTATTTTTATTATTATTAAATGTATTCATGTGACGCAAAGCTGAATTTTCAGCATCATTACTCCAGTCTTCAGTGTCACGTGATCCTTCAGAAATCATTCTAATATGCTGATTTGCTGCTTGAGAAACATTTCTTATTATAGGCTAAATGCTGAAAACATTTGTGCTGCTTAACAGTTTTGTTGAGACCATGATTTTTTTTCAAGCTTCTTTGATTAATAGAAATACTTAACTCAACTCCTGATGGCAGAACTGGAAACCAAACAAGCTGGACTGTTTGTCTCGTAGCGCACATACAGGCCTATTGGTGAAATATAGGGAGTCGAGTCCGGAGGAAAACCAGAAGTGTTATCATGGAAGTGCTCACCTGTGGGCTGCTGATGGGGCCGTAGCCTACCGAGGGAGTTCCAGGAAGGCAAGGAGAACCCAGAGAGGAGCTGATGACTGAGAAAGGTGAGCCCATGCTGCTGATGGGACTGTTCACGGCCGAAGTGATGGGGGGCAGGGAAGTCATGGAGGCGGCTGAAGGGGCCAACGGGGGCGAACGCTGACCTGATGGTGGCGAGGAAACGGATGAGCTGTCTGGACTATGAGAATCTGTGAGGACAGAGGTAAATATTATACGTTTATTCAGAGTGGCCAGTCATTTTAAAAGATCTTTTGTAAAATATTTAAAGGGGGAAAACAAACTATATATTTTACATACATGCAAAGTTAAAGAAACTGATACTGAAACCAAGCTACCTAAACTTTCAACTTTCTAAACTAACAAAACATTCATGAAACACTGTTAAACCAAGGTCTACAAACTGGAGTTGTATTAATCATAACATCACTACTCTGGTAATATACAAAAACAGTGGCAACGAACATCATACATGGTTATCATGAATATCATAAACTTGAAGCAGTCATATTAAAATCTAAGTTTATAGCTTTTAGTGTACATTTCACATGTGTTACTTCACAAATGTGCATTAAAAATCAAAACCGTCTCACCTCTACTATCGCCCATGATGTGCAGCAGGGCTCTGCTGTTCACACCGACTCACTCGCTCTGATGTCGGATGACTGTTCAACTCAAGACCGCGGACAGAGGCCCGGGCCCCTGGATCTTTTATCAACCTAAATTATCCCTGCAGATTATAAAACACTGCGTGAATGACACTTAATGACGTTTAAACTACAAACACGAGAAATATAAATAGTCACTAACGTTATGCCTCAAAGCGAGTTATATCGCATTTCCGTGTAGACATGACAGAAAGGTTTATTTTTATGGGTTTTTAAGTGACTTCTTACACGCATATGAACTGTATACAACAGATTCAATGTATACTGCATAGTATTAGTTCGATAAAACAGGATTGATCATGTGCAAAATGCAATTTCCCTGTATCGGCTAGCGGATTAGCTCGCTTCATAGCTTTAATTTCCCAACGAAACGAGCCACATTTCACCTTACAAAACGGCTTAAAACGTCCACATAATTTCCTTAATATCGTTTTAGTAAACGACACTGGTTTAATTTACAGGTACTGTGTGTAAAAACAAACGCATTTATATCTGAGTACGGCTAATCCACTCAACTGGCATTTTAGCTAGCACGCTAATAACTCTGCAGGCACAATTTACTGCCCAAAAACAAACAGCGGAAAACCGAGCATAGGGTTATTATAACAAAGGCATAGCAACATATACCTGTCAATAAATGTAAACAACAGCAGCATCTACCGAGTTAAGTAAATACAATTAAGATTTCTATTTAAAAATGGCTTAATTAGTGCCGCGACTCTCCGTTCCCATCTTCTCGGTGTGATTCTCACAGTTGCCCTGATCTTCCTTTCTGAAGAGGAAACTGAAGCTGTTTACGTCCGAGCTTTGAAACTGACGCCATTTTGGCTCGTGTAAAGGATCAGTTGAGCCAAAATGTCTAACTCCAAATAAAGTTTCTTCATTGGAAGTACATTATATAACTGCTGCTGGATGAGTCTGCAAATGTGTGTCGCATAAACATGTTTACGTAATGACATACCAATCGAGTGTTGTATGAAACTATAGACATGTTTTCTACTTAAAATAACAAAAATCTTTATTTTGTTTTTAAATGGTTTTATTTTATTCTTTTTCACGAGAGCAAATTTTGAAGCATATGAAAAATAATAATAATAAAAAAATATATATATATATATGTGTGTGTGTGTGTGTGTGTGTGTTTCAAAATCGTGTGTGCATATATATATTTATATATATATGTTTCAAAATTGGCTCTCATGAAAAAGAATAAAAAAAAACATGTATGTTTATGTGTGTGTGTGTATGTGTTTCAAAATCGTGTGTGTGTGTGTGTGTGTGTGTGTGTGTGTGTGTATATATATATATGTATATATGTATATACACACACACACACACACACATACACACAGGCAGTGCCTTCCATAAGTATAGGAACAGTAAACACAAAATTGCTCTGTTTCCTGTGGAGTCAAGAAATCTGTCAATACTCACATCAGGTAGTGGGATGAACTCTAAAAGTGCTGTCCTTTTTATTTGGTAAAACATGTATGTATTGAAACAGCTAATAATAAAATGTGACATTCTGTAGTTTTGTGTCATATTCATTTTTTTATCATATTTGCAATTGTCTTGACTCAACAGCAAGCAATACGTTTAAAAGATGAATATGAGACAAAACTACAAATTGTCACATTTTATTATTGGGTTTTTCAACACATACATGTTTTACCAACTATGAAGATCAACACTTTTAGAGTTTCATCCCCCTATCTAATGTGAGCAAAAGTATTGGGACAGTTGCCTCACAGGTCTTTCTGAGTGATCAGCTGTGTCCTGTTGCATTAATTCTCAGATTAAAAGCAGGGAATGTGTCATATCAGTTATACCCATTGCTTCTGCATTCTGAGTCTTGCATTTGATGACGAAACACACAAACCAGGATGAAGACGAGGGATCTGACTTTGAGAGAAAAGCAAGCAATTTGGATGCTAAAAGAAAAGAAGAAGTCAATTAGAGCTATAGCAAAGACAACAAAAAGACAAAGGCCATGGAGAAATCAAGAGTTTGGAAACCACCTCCAGAAAGCTGGGGTGATGCTCTGACAATCTACTGTCCGCAGGAGACGTTGACACAGAATTACAGAGGCTACAGCAAGATGTAAACCTCTGATCAGCACCAAAACCAGAAAGGCAAGATCAGAGTTTGCAAAAAAAGCACAAAGATGAGCCAGTAGAGTTTTGGGAAAGAATTTTATGGAAAGATTGACCTTATTCTAAGTGATGGGAAAGCAAAAGTCTGGAGAAAGCATCATTTGCAGTTGCATCTGGGATCTGCAATGAAATATTAGCTTTTACTATATATATATATATATAAAAACATTTTAAGATATATCCAAATAGGAAACACTTACTTTAAATTGTAATACATTTTTACAATATTACTGTTTTGACTGTATTTTGGATCCCTTGGTAAGCAAGAGACTTCTTTCAAAAACATTTAAAAATCTCACAGACCCCTAACATTTTAATGGCATTGTACATGATATCAAACATACTGGCTTGCATTACAAAAGTGTGAAACTGCTCTTTTGACCCATCTAAACTACTTGTATAAACCAAATAACACATTCACATCTGTATGAACACTCACTTTCGAGATTGTACCTCACACTTATTTATCTGAATAACAATGTTAAGTGTTCATAATATATAAATATACATATATATTTAATATTAATTTTCCAATGTGGAGTATAAATAATGCAAATTCTGGTTTGGTTGACACAATCTTGTCATTGCAGTTTTTCACAATAACTAGCCTGAGCTTTTCTGTGAACTCAGCTGCCATCCACAGGCAAGAGGACTTTACAACAGCTAAAAAGTCTCTCTTTTTTTTAATTCTCAGAAAGTCAACACAAAAACTCAAGCATTTTTTTCCCCTGCACCTTCACATTTTAAACATGTAAGCTACCAGTCTCTCCAACAAATCTTCTCTTTCCAGTAAACACCAATACATTTTAGCCAATATTACAGTCCCAATCATTATCACCGGATCATCATTAGAGTTTAAACAGAACCTACAAAACAAAACATGCAAGATGTACAGAACTTTACACACAGATGAGTTATGAGTATTTTTAAGAATGAAAGGCCACAAGGTCAAATACATATGAAACCGTACATTGCATTAGCATTACAAACTGCTAAGTTAAGGAGTTGACTAATTTAATCCATTTTCCACAATGTGCAAGTGTTTTTAACAGCATTATGACAACCATTCAACATGTAAATGCTAAATATGTAATTATTTACTTGCAAGCACAGTTTAGAGGATATGTGAGGGATGTGTTTCTGTGATACACACAAAGATCACACAGCTGTTATTATTGTCTTCAGTTACAGAACAGTTGAATCTTTTTCATGGAGCCTGACTAGTGCAGTGGTATTTCAACTTTATTGTTCGAATTTTGAGATATTCAAGTCTTACTGTGGTCGCATTTAAATAAAGTGCAGCCTGTCAATAACAAGATATTCATTTATTTATTGGCTGATTATAAATAAGCAAAAGGGCAAAGTCAGCTGGGGCACATTAGGACGTGTTTAATAGGAACGGATTGCAGGGGGAATAGCAGCACAGTCATCTGCGTTCAGAGAGCTGTCAATCACACGTCTGTATTCCAGAGTAACCTGAAACACACGTTTATACATGTTAGCTCATATTAACGTACGCTTTGTTTTTTTTTAACATACAGCTGCCTTCTTCCTGTATGCAGACTAACAAGAAAGATTTAAAGGTGAACAAATGAAGGGAAAGGTAACAATGGCAAAACACTCTCACAATGAACTAAAAGGTTCATTATATATTTACCTTTCCTGTCTTGGGATCCACGTAGGACATTGTGTGTTTCCTCCAGTGCTGCTCGAAAGGCTTCTTCACTTGTCCTTGCAGAGGCTTGGAGTAATCGTACTCATCCTCACGGTCCTGTAAGAAAAACAGCATAAAACCATTTAAGCCAAAAAAAAAACATATCCACATAACAGTTTTGGCTTTAACACTGCGATGCATATTAAAGGAATAGTTCACCCAAAAATGAAAATATGCAGAAGATGCTTTCAATCTCAGGCCATCAAAGATGTAGATGAGTTTGTTTCTTCATGTGAACAGGTTTGGAGAAATGTAGCATTACATCACTTGCTCACCAACGGATCCTCTGCAGTGAATGGGTGCCGTCAGAATGAGAGTTTAAACCGCTGATAAAAACACCACAATGATCCACAAGTAATCCACACCACCCCAGTCCATCAATTAATGTCTTACAAAGTAAATCGAATCCATTAATGCATTGACGGTTTGAAGTTAAAAACGTCTTGATGGAATTGTTTATCCACAGCTTTTCACTTGGACTGAAGTGGTGTGGATTACTTGTGCATCAGCTGTTTGGACTCTCAATCTGACGGCACCCATTCACTGCAGAGGATCCATTGGTGAGCAAGTGATGTAATGCTACATTTCTCCAAATCTGTTCCCATGAAGAAACAAACTCATCTACATCTTGAGTCCTATAACTATTATTTTAAGATGCAAGACTACAAATTACAGAGAGCTGGAAGCAACACACCCATTTGTAAAAAAATGTAACGAAACATTTACATTTTCAAAAGCCAAGACGTCATTTTTACCAGGTAAAAAAAAAAACGTACTGAGCACTAAAAACTCAGCTTTGTAAATTTACAAAATGATGTCCTGAGACAAGCATGCTGGTTTCAGAAAGTTCACCTTGAAGTCCTCGCGTGCGTGAGCTCCTCTGCTCTCTTTACGCGCCTCAGCGGAGACGATTGTCTGCACCGCGTTCAGCATCAGATTCTGCAGCTCCAGAGTTTCCACCAGATCAGTGTTCCAGACAATGCCTGAAGACATAAAAGCAGCACAAATGCTATAAGAACCTGTATATTGCAGCAATAACACCTTTTTAATACAGTAATGCAGATCAATGCATTTTAGATTAGACAAAAATGATTACGCTACCGTTCAAATTTCAAAAGTTTGGGGTCAGTTCTTAATATTTTTTTTTTTTAATGTTTTGAAGTCTCTTAAGGCTCACAGAGGCTACATTTACTTGATTAAAAATACAGTAAAAACAGTACATTTTTTAAAATATTATTACAATTTAAAATAACTATTTTCTATTCGAATGCATTTATGTAATTTATTCCTGTGATCAAAGCTGAATTTTCAGCATCATTACGCCAGTCTTTAGTGTCACATGGATCCTTCAGACATCATTCTAATATGCTGATTTTCTGCTCATAAAACATTTCTGATTATTATCAATGTTGACAGTTGTGCTGCTTCATATTTTTGTGGAAATCATGATTTGATGGGATTCTTTGATGAATAGAAAGATCAGAATTACACAAAACCCCGTCTGTCACTTTTAATCAACGCTGAATGAAAATTTGAATCGCGTGAGCACAGAGATATGTGATTTCTAATTTATTCAGTTCTCCCGTGCCAGTCTTCTCTGACCTCTGTCAAATGTCTTGATGTCATCCATAGACTTGTAGACGGAGTCCATCTTTTCACAACCCTCCTTCAGGACGTCTCCGGTGCGGAACACAGCAGCGTGATTCTGCATGGTCTGAGGTCCAAAAGAAAAACAAAACAGATTAAATTATTTTGAAATGAGTATTTTATTATAACCACTTGAGATCATCCTAAATCATAAGATGAGGCTACCACATGCTTCAATTCAATTCCTAGCAGCATCCTGTTGATCAGTCAATAAGTTTAGGATTCTTTTAAGAAATAAAGAGCTGCAGTGAGGTGACGGACCTTCTGCATATTCAGTCTGATCTCTGAGGTTCTGGTACT